AATTTATGTCTATTATTCTTTTTTTTTCTTTTTGAGACAGGTCTGTCTTTGTCACCTAGGCTGTAGTGATGTGATCATAGCTCACTGTAATTTCAAACTGCTAGGTTCAATCAATCCTCCTGCCTCAGCCTCTCTAGTAGCTGGGACTAAAGGCATGTACCATCATGCCCAGCTAATTTCTTTTTTTTATTTTTGGTAGAGGAGGTCTTGCCATGTTGCCCATGCTGCATTATTTTATTCTTGAGAAGTTGATGTAGGGTTTTATTAATTATATTGATTATTTAAGAGAACTAACTTTTGCTTTCATTGATTTTTGTCTGTTGTATATCTGTTTTTATGTTATTATTTTCTGTTCTTGGTTATACTATTTCTTTTTACATATTTTGGGGGTATAATTTGCTCTTCTTTTTCTAGCTTCTTAAGGTTACATTATTGACCCCATTCTCTGCCCATTGATTCAGAGTTTGCATTTTGCCTGCCTGATCTTTTATAGCCAGTGTTATGTTAAATGCTTTCCTCATTCTTATTCATTCTTTTATTATTTTGGATCATGCCTTGTTTTCTCTAATTTGTTTTTATGAGTAAGACATATAGAACCTACCTTGTTCTTCTTTGACTTGTGCACAAATATTAACTTAGTGTTCTGTATATGCTACATGGTAAATGAATAATTATTAAAAAATAATATTTTAGTGTGTTTCCAAGCACCAGATCTATATAAAGAGTGGGGAACAATGCACCTAAGAAGAGTTGAGCTTAACAGTCCTATTTGGTCATCAAAAGCCAGCTCAGACATCATCTTTTCTTGGAAGGAGTCTTCATAGTCAGAAAACATTGCTCTTTCATTCCATTTTCTTTATATTGTATACACCCTCTTGTTATGTATCACAATATTTAAAAAATTAGCTTATAGGTTAGTCTCCCCTACTGTAGTCTTAGGTTTTTGACAAAAGGGACACTATCTTGTTCCTTGGTGCCTAAAACAATGCCTTGATATACAGAAATTATCCATTAAATGTTTAGGTGAATGACAGAAGAAAAGGCCTTTCCGTGCTTCTGAAGTCTGGTGAAACATTCGGAACATATGTAACAATCTGTGCTATGTTGTGCTGTATTTCAGAGAATAAACACGCAGGCCTATTGTGTTTTTGAAATGGGTTTTAAATAGAAAAAGTTTTGGCATGTGTTGTAAGTTACTGTTCTTCCTCAGAGTAGGGTCCAGAGTCAATCAGTGTCTAGGACCCCAAAGCATATGGACACTACCACTATTTAACCCCCACTTTAATGTCTCAAGAGAAGATGACTGGTGTAAGCCAAACTAACCTCTCCTGCCTTTGTTCTCAGAGATGAGGACTGGTTCACAAAGAAAGAGGGCCTGCAGCTCCACTATTTCAGAAATGCTTAATTCAGATCACTTAGATAATGGGAAATGTCCCAAAACTCCAGCCAGATCAATTTGTTCCCCCTCCCTAGGGCTATTATCATGGTGTCCTTGCCAAAGCTCTCAACAAGTCTTCATAATCTCTTACATGCTTGGTTCTCTGCAGAGCTTTTCAGGCACTTTCCTACCCATTATCTTTTCTAATCGTCAAAACAGCTGCTGTATACAATATTCTAGAGGGCACCAAATGAAGGAAAGAGATCCAGCTCTGGAGCTAGACAGCCCTGACTCAGTTCCTGCTCTGCCACTTACTGATGTGGCAGGGGGCAAATATCTTTATCTCACTGAGCCACAGTTTTCTCATTTGTAAAATGGGGATAATACCTCAAAGGCTTCTTGTGTAACTTAGAGCTAATATGTATAAACCATTTAGCACAGGGTTTAGTACCTGGTGGGTGCTGATAAATTGTAGCTATCATTGCTATTATTTTCATGTTCTGTTAATGTAATTACTTTGGTTTCTTATAGCAGTTCAGGGTAAGATTGAACCAGGTGTCATAATGCAGTGAAATAGTGCTAATGGCTAATGGGCATCATATGTATTGTCAATTAAGTGACTTTTTTCATACAACATTTTCTAAAAGCAAGGGTAGAGGGAAGTTTAAAAACCTAAAACAATAACAACTAAGTACCAAATTAAGTGGAACAAAGGCAGGCCCTGTAGCTTAAATATTGCTGAAGTGCAATTATATCTGTCCTGGAATCAGTGCAGACCTTGTACTTAAAGTGGCTGCTTTGGAGTATTATTAGTTTATTTTTTCCTATGAACAATTTAACAAAAAATTGAACTGGCATCTATGCAGTGCTGAATGCTAAGTTTAGAGAGAGAAACTAATACATAAACCTTTGATTTGCTGAATAAACCTTTGCTCTTCCACAGAAGGCTACGAAGAACATAGAGCATGGAGCCTCTAACTCTGCTTGGGAGAACTGGGGGTTGTGGGAGAGTTAAAGGATAGGTTGGGTTTTCCTCATTCGGTGTTAACACTAACACCGTGTTCCAGCTGTGCTGAGGTTTTGTGAAGATCTCTGTAGGAAGTGGTGAAGGGACGATTAGCTTGGCATGATAATCAAACGTTAGCTCTAGAGTTAGGCAGAACTCTGAGGGAGAATCCATGCCCTGTCATTGATGAGCTCGATGAATCTTGGATAAGTTGGTAGGTGCTTGTGCTTACCCAACTAAAAATGGAGATGCTAGTAATATCTAGTTTGAAAACTTGAAGGGACCAACAAAAAATTTCCTACCTTCCTCATTTAGGTTTGGAACTCATTGAAAGGGTGGAAATTAGATAGATGGGTATAAAAATGTCATGTTACTACTCATAAAACTGTATTGAAAACCTTGGATACTTAAAAATGATGGGCTTCCTAATTCCACACCCCAATAATGAACATAGTCACTAGGCACTGGTGGAAATGAAAACTGCAGGCCCCTTTTAGGAGGCAGATCTGCTCTGCTAAGCTTACTCAGCAAGCGGACTCAAATGCATTGAGATCAAAGAGTGGTTCTACACATGGCTGGCCAAATGCATCTAGTTTCCTCTTCCCAACTAACCAGTGGGTTGAGAGGTAAGCAAGAGGCTAAGAGTTTGCTATAGTGAAGATCCTTAATTCTACCAGAAAATCTGAAGCCTGGGAACGGGAGGGTGCTTCCAACATCCATATTAGCAAAGAACTGGATTAAATATGTGGTAGGATATACAGAGAGCACTGTAAGCATAGTGCCTGCCATGTAGTAAACACTTAACAAATGTTAGCTTTTATTGTTGTTATGATGGCAGTAGATTAACAGGGCCCAATATATTTTCTCATATTCTCCCCTTAATGTATCCATGAAGATATGCAAAAACTCTTATCACTAGATGCTACAGAAAGGACCATATGCTAAAGTCTGAAGGGAAATTTTTTCTGGCTCGACTGTTGATAAATATGTCCATCCTGGGTAATACTGCTATTTAGAAAGCATGGAACCCTCTTTTGGGAAGCAGGAATGTAAATTGATCAAAAATATTGACAAACCTTATGCGGCAACATCTCTTCTGCATTTGGATATTTTTGAGCTTGATAGAAGTCCTAGCCTCTCATTTTCATAATTTTTTTCCCCACACATAATCAGAAGCTACAATTCATAGGACATTGCATCTGGAAAGTAGCTATCCAAGGAAAAGCATTTTGGTAGAAATGGTAGAGTTCTGGGAACAGTGCAGTAGGTAGAGATGGGGTAGTGATGAAGGAAGAGGCAGGAGAAAAAGGATGGGGTCTTTATGCTTTATGTAGTAAAAGAACCAACAAACGCATCTAACCCCAAAGTCAGTAAGAGGAGAGTTCACCTCAGCCCTGATTAGTCAAGAAGGATAATTGCCTACCCAGCCTACAACTAGGGGCCATTCATATCCACTCCTACTTTAAGTCTAAATCTTGTAAAAGAATACTTCGGCACCCAAAGGAACAGGGAAACCAAGGAGATGCCATGGCCTCTATCTGTTGGCATTAGGTAGTCCTTGTACAAGGATAAATCAACAGGCTTTTAAAAAGTGCTCTATAAAAATTACTATAGCATGAAGGAAATGGAAAATTATTCTCTAGGGTCAAAGGGAAATCATAACTCTAAAAATTATTTGCTACAGGAGTCAGAAAATATTTTGGAAAACATTTGCTTGTTATTTTCAGCAAAATGCAAAAAGTCTTGGTATCTCTGAAAAAGGACAGGTGAGCCTGAAATAGAAATGGTATGAGATGAAAAAGGAGTTTGAAAGTCAACTCCGAAAGCAAGTCTAATATTCATGTCAACTTTGGACATGATTTTATAAAATGAAATTTCCTGAAGAAAAGATTGGAACAAAACAAGAATAAATATCTAAGTTTTAATTTAAAAAACTATTCTTTAGTAGAAGAAAAGGCCAGTGTTTGAAGATTAATATGGTTTGGTATTTTCCAGGTGACTTTCATATATTGCTGATGACATTTTTTTAAATTTTAAGGAATACAAAAAAAATTCTGTAAAAATTCATGCAAAAAAACCATAAAACACAACCCAAACTAACAGCAACACATTCTCTATGAAGGAACAAAAATCAAGACTTCTCATTGGCAACATAGAATAACTTAAGAAAAAAAGAACAATTCTGCATAGTTTTGAAGGAAAAAATGTCAACCAAGAATTGGTCAGAGAAACCAGGTGAGAGATCTGGAAATGAATAGCTGTTCAAGGAAAAGCATTGGTAGAAATGGTAGAGTTCTGTGAACACTGCTAATCTAGAATCTAGATCACTGGATTCACCAGTAGAATCTAAACTAATTCAAGAATGTTAAAATTATAGTTCAATAGAACAGGTGATAAGCATTGAAAATAAGTGAACAGTGTGAACATAAAACCCATCAGAATCCTGTCAGAAGACAGAAATCATCTAGGTATTTCAATCAGAAGGAATTTAATATAGTCTATTTATTACTTAGAGGATGGTCTTCCTGGAGACACAAACAGGGCATTGCTACTCAGATTTTATTGTCACCTGGGATTTTTTTCAAATGCAGATTCAGGCTGGGTGTGATATCTCGTGCCTGTAATCCCAGCACTTTGGGAGGCTGAGGTGGGTGGATCACCTGAGGTCAGGAGTTCAAGACCAGCCTGGCCAACATGGCAAAACCCCGTCTCTACTAAAAGTACAAAAATTATCCAGGCTTGGTGGTGCACACCTGTAATCCAGCTTCTCAGAATACCGAGGCAGGAGAATTGCTTGAGCCCAGGAGGCGGAGGTTACAGTGAGCCAGGATTGTGCCACTGCACTCCAGCCTGGGTAACAGAGCAAGACTCTGTCTCAAAAAAAAAAAAAAAAAAAAAATTCAGATTCAGTAGATTTGGGATGAGCCCTGAGATTCTGCATTTTGAAGATGCTCCTAGATAAAGCCAATGTTGCCGGTTCCTGAAACACTTTTTGAATAGTAAGGAAATAGGACAAGTTGAGGAAACAAGTGATTAGCCGTAACAGGATGACACAATTTTCCTTAGGGTTGAAGAAACACAAGGAGGGGATGATATTTCAGTGCCACAGAGTGGTAGCTAGCACTCCGGCCAGGGTTTCCTGATGGGAGCTGGGATTAAGGTGGAAGGGACTGGTAGAATCTGAAATCACAGTGGAGATGCAGCTGCTGCTGGAGACCTAGCTAGAGGCAGAGTGACAAGGAGTTAAATTCCTTCACTAGCTTCTGATCTTCAGCAATTATTTCCTGTTTGCTGCATCTGCCTTCCCCATTGCAGTATGCAGCCTTGCTGGATCTCAGCTTCTCAGCTTCTCCCTCTGGGTCAACCTTTAATATGCTGAACAATTAATTAAACTTGATCCTGACATCTACCTCTAAATGTAAACAATCCAGTGAATCACAAGGGGCTCTCTAGGTATAGGATCCACCTCTTAGAGCTAGAGAGATGCGATACAGGAGAGTAAGGGGGGAATAACAAGTTGAATTTACATTAATAAAAAACGTGGTTTTCCTCTTATGCTTATTGCACTATGTAGCTCCTTTTCTTTGTGTGTCGACCACATCGTGCTCTCTCCCACTTCAAGGCCTAAACAAAGGCTGATGCCTTACCATGAAATGCATTCCCCCATACTCTGTGTCTGGTTAACTCCTCATCATTCAGATCTTAGCTTAAATGTCTCATTGACGGAAAGCTCCCTAACACCCTAGACTAGATAAGATCTCCCTGAAATAATTTCGTATAACAACTTTTCCTTGCTCTTCCTGGCACTTATAACAATGTGAACTTAATATTTATATGATTATGTTCTAGGTCCCTGTACCCAACTAGGTTCTAAGTTCCTAGGGTGAAAATGATGTCTACTTTGTTAACTATGGTGTTTCCCATGCCTGGAAAACTAGATTGATAATGGATGCCCCTCTTCAGGTCATTAGCATAAAAAAGCAGCGTGGTTGTTTTGGTGGCCAGAGAACACATTCCGGATGTTAACATTTGAATGTGAATATACAAATGTGATTTCTGGAAGGCATTTTGCTTTGATAACAAACTGGTCAGTCAGGAGTTGATACTAAACTTTCGAATGTTGCATCACATATGTAACCCATAAAAGTGGCATTTAACAACAGGTAAAAACAGCTACCATTTGTTGAATACGATCATATGCCAAACATTGTGCTGTTTTATAGGCATTATTTATTTAATCCTCACAGCCACCTATAAGGTTATTCCCATTTTACTGATGAGGACACTGAAACTCAGATGGTAAATGATGTCCTATAATTTATAAGTAGTGGGGCAAAGAATAGGATTGATGTCTTTCTGTCTTTATTAAGCAATGTAACCTTGATACCTTCGAAATAACTAGTTTTAAGTTTAACTTAATAAGCTTTTTTTTTTCTTTTTTCTAACTCAAGGATGAAGACCTAAGCTGTGAATAGCATAAAGTCTTCAGGGAATGATCCTTCCTGGGCAAAAGGTAAGTCAAGCAGGCACCTGTTTGTGCAGGGGTGTGGCAACCGCCAAGGAAGGCCACAGTGGAATATATATCTCCAGCTGCAAAGAGCCAAGAGAGGTCTGTAAGGCAAGTTAAGTCTGACTTGGAAGCCGGAGGAAGTTTGGCAGGTCAAAGCCACTGGTGTGCCAGCTCATAAGAGCTGATTGTTAAATTTTCAGGAATTTTGCAAGCTGGTTATTTGATGTAGTCATTATTAAAAATTGAACTTTATAAACCTATAATTTAAAAATATATTAAAAGCAAAGGTAACAAATACTTAAAACTGATTAATTCCTAAAGATTTTACTACATTTTACTATTATTTATGCTCTTGAGTCATGTCTATTGAAACTTAATGGTAGAAATCCTATCTAGTGGTATGCTACTGTGCATCTCTTCCCAATTCTGTGTTGGGAAGGTAGCCTGAAATTGTCCATCGTCCAGTGTTTACACCATGGAAATTGGCAAGCAGTACATATCAATCTCCCCATTGCTGAAAGCTAGTTGTTAGACGTTTGTTAGCATGCTACTACTGCTTTAATCCCTGGGAAAGGGGCCAAGTACAGAGCCAAATGTCAAAAGCCAAAGAACAGTCCAGACGAAAGCTGCAGTTGCCCGTGGTTGCTGCCCGCTATTATTTGGGGTAGTTAGCATTCAGGGAGCTGAAGAATGGAGTTTTGATATTTTAAATAGAAACGTTTGGTATAGGACAAATATCATTAAAAAGCTTCTGAGAATGAAATTGTGAAACAGAAATCAGATATTGTTAATAAAAACTCCATTGGTAAACATTTTTGAGATCTAAAAAGACCCCGTCTTAGTATGCAAAGTAATTAGAGATGCGACAGTGGGATTCTTTTTCTTTTAAACTTGGAATGTTGTGTGAGGTTTAATGTGTGTTGCAAATTTGACGCTCATCACGCCCTGCCACTGCGCCACTACTGCATAACCACTGCAGAGACAGTTGTGTACATTTTGGAATGTTTTTGACTATTGTTATATTTGGAAGAGGCTCCCGGATGTTGTCTAAAGAAGTTGAGATTTATTTATAAGAGGTAAAGGTGAATTGTGAAATGATGTGATGGTGTGACTGTAGTTAGAGTTACTGTCAACACCTTGCAATTTGGCTGTGCTTGTAGAATCGGTTTTCCTTCAAGACTTTAATTATCTTTGATATCTGATTCTTAACAACCCAGGAAATAGGGCAGAGAGTATAAAATTTTATAGAAATGTTCAATTCAAATTATTTGGGTGAAGTTGGTCAGTCTTAATACCTGGTGTATTTTACCTGGCGTGATTTTCCTAGATGATTAAATGTCTTACTTGTTTTAATTGATTACAAAGTCGTATGTGCTTCTTGTAAAAATTCACATAACACAGACTACAAACCTGTTACAGACTCATAACCCCAAACCCCAGAGGTAATATCCCATAAGTGAAACAGTTGAGAGTTTTTCTACCTATATGTACTTAACATATAAACATGAAAATTAAATGAGATCATATTGCTCTGCAGCTCTTTTCATTTAAAAAAGTTGTGGTGTGGTATACCTACAGAAGATTATATAAATGGATGCATACGAATTAAAATTAAATGAACACTGGTGCAATCCCAGGATATGAAACAGAAAATTGCCTGCACCTTGAAAGTTGCTCTGCCCCTCGTAGTCACAAGTACTTACTACTATACCATAGGAAACCATGACCTTGACTTTTGTGGCAAACGTTGTCTTGCTTTTCTTCATGCTTGTACCACATATCTATGTATTCTTAAATAATCTTTTGTTTAATTTTTACTGTTTTGAACTTTATATGAAAGAAATCATTCTGAATGCATTTTTATAACTTTTTTCTTCCAGCATTGAGAATGAGATACATTAATTTTGCTGCATATAGTGGTGGTTCATTCATTTTCATTGATGTATAATATTCCATTGCAGAGATAGAAATCAATTTGTGTAGCCAGTGGATTGTTGATGAACATTTGTGTCATTTTTACTTTTTGGATATTTTTAATGATGCTGTTTTAAATACAGACACATGTTATCTGGTGTAAGAATAATAAGGTTTTCCTATGATGTCTCCCTAGGAGAGGGGTTATTGAATCATATGGTTTGGACATGTTAATCTTTACTAGGTAATGCAAATTGTATTCCAAAGTGGTTTACCAATTTACTTTCTGATCCATGGAGGATGAGAGGGTTCTATTTCTTTAAATGTTTGCTAACACTTGGTATTGCCAGACTTAAAAATTTTTGCCTACATGTATCATTATAGCTTTAATTTGCATTTATCTGATTCTTGACGAGGCTATTTTTTTTCCATATAATTATTGGCCATTTTGGTTTTTTCTCTCATGAAATTCTGTTCAAGTAATTTGTCCATTTTTGGTCTTGAATTGTCTTTTACTTAAGGATTCTTCAGTGTTCTTTATATGCAGTTTGCCATCAAATCTAAGATGCCCTTGTATTACATTAAGAAAAATATTTTTTTTATTATGTTGTAACCTGCCAGCGATAATAAGATGCACCCCAACGTCCATGACAGTAAAATGTGGAAAACAGTTTGTCTTAGAAACAAAACCTATGGTGTTCTAAGTAAAAGACCTTTGCCGCCGTGGCTCACGCCTGTAATCCCAGTACTTTGGGAGGCCGAGGCAGGTGGATCAGGTCAAGACATGGAGACCATCTTGGCCAACATGGTGAAACCCCGAATCTACTAAAAAAATACAAAAATTAGCTGGGTGTGGTGGCACGTGCCTGTAGACCCAGCTACTCAGGAGGCTGAGGCAGGAGAATTGCTTGAACCTGGGAGGTGGAGGTTGTAGTGAGCCAAGATCATGCCACTGCACTCCTGTCTGGCAACAGAGCAAGACTCTGTCTCAAAACAAAAAACAAAAAACAAAAAAGAAGACCTTTGCCACTTACATGTGTTGCAAATAGCTTCTCCTGATTTGTTGCTTGGTTTTTACCTCTTCATAGTTCTCTTTGATTAACTGCAGTTCTAACTTTTAAGGAAGTCTAATTTATCTACCTTTTTCTCTAGTTTTTTTTCTTTTTGCATCTTTTTTTAAAAAAATCATGTCCAGCTGTGCAATAATGAAGATATATTAATTTCTAAAAGTTACATAGTTT